ATCGTGCCATTGCACTCCAGCCTGGGCAACAAGAGTGAAACTCCATCTCAAAAACAAAACAAAACAATACAAAACAAAAAACGCCACAATTTTTTCAGCATTGCTGACCACTACTATGATTGACCTTTGGTTGATCAACTCTATAATTTTAGAATAATTGTTGTCTTTGGGGCTCCCTCAAAATGGCCATTTGTGAAGTGAAACTTATGAGTGATAACACCTACAGGAGGTTCACAGGTTTCCTTCTATTGCAGTCAAGTTTTTGTTGTTGTCGTTGTTTTGTTTTGTTTTGTTTTTTTTGAGACAGAGTCTCACTCTGTCACCCAGGCTGGAGTGCAGTGATGCTATCTTGGCTCACTGTATCCTCTGCCTTCCAGGTTCAAACGATTCTCCTGCCTCAGTCCCCCGAGTAGCTGGGATGACAGGCGCGCGCCAGCATGCCCAGCTAATTTTATTATGTTTAGTAGAGAAGGAGACTTCACCATATTGGCCAGGCTGGTCTCGATCTCCTGACCTCGTGATCTGCCTGCCCCGGCCTCCCAAAGTGCTGGGATTACAGGTGTGATCCACCGCGCCCGGCCTTGCAGTAAAGTTGTGTCGATGCATCTTTTCGGGAGTTTTTTTTATCCTTCCAAAGACTCCCCAGTGTAAAGTTTCTCTTTCGTTGGTTGGGCTTGAATTCTTTTCTGACACCGAGTATCACAGTGAGAGGCAGGACAAAGGTGTCCATACTGGCATATTATACCACTTCAACGAGCCAGCATTTTTTTCCTTTACACTCTCATGTTACATTAGCAATTAGGGCAGGTTGTTTTTGCCTTTGATTTCTAACAATTGGATTTGTTTTGTTCTAGCCTTAAGGAAGAAATTGCAATCAATTCTTATATGTTTATGGTGGTAATGTAGACATAATATACCATTTGCCATTTTGACCATTTTTAAGCATACAGTTCCGTGGCATTAAATACATTCATAATGTTTTTTATTTTATTTTATTGATTTTACTTTAAGTCCTGGGATACATTTGCAGAATGTACAGGTTTGTTACATAGGTTTACATGTGCCATGGTGGTTTGCTGCACCTGTCAACCTGTCATCTAGGTTTTAAGCCCTGCATGCATTAGGTATTTCTCCTAATGCTCTCCCTCCCCCAGCCCCCTACCCTCTGACAGGCCCTGGTGTGTGATGTTCCCCTCCCTGTGTCCACGTGTTCTCGTTGTTAAACTCCCACTTATGAGTGAGAACATGCGGTGTTTGGTTTTCTGTTCCTGTGTCAGTTTGCTGAGGATGATGGTTTCCAGCTTCATCCATGTCCCTGCAAAGGTCATGAACTCATCCTTTTCTATGGCGGCATCGAAATACATTCATAATGTTCTACAGCTGTCTCAACTTTTCTTCATCACCCCAGACAGAAACTCATAGCCCTTAAGGAATAACTCCTCATTTCACCTACCCCCAACCATGGGTAGCTAGTGTTCTTTCTTTCTCTTTTTTTCTCCCCAAAATCATTTTGTAAGTCTAGTCCAATGATTATTTTTCTCATTTTAATTTCAATTTCAAGTTGTGGGGGGCACGTGTAGGATGTGCACGTTTGTTACCTGGGTAAAGGTGTGCCATAGTGCTTGCTGCCTGGATGAATCCATCACCTAGGTATTAAGTCCAGCATGCATTAGCTCTTTTTTTTCTGATGCTCTCCTGCCCCCTGTGCCCGCAAAAGGCCCCGGTGTGTGATGCTCCCCTCCCTGTGTCCATGTGTTCTCATTGTTCAACTCCCACTTATGAGTGAGAACATGCAGTGTTTGGTTTTCTGTTCCTGTGTGAGTTTGCTGAGGATAACGGTTTCCAGCTCCATCCATGTCCCAGCAAAGGACATGGTCTCGTTCCTTTTTATGGCTGCATAGTATTCCATGGTGTATATCTACCACATTTTCTTTCTCCAATTTATCCTTGATGGGCATTTGGGTGGTAACCATTGTTTTCTCTGTATTTATACATTTGTATATTCTATAGTAAACTGCAATTTTTTTGGGGGGCGATGGAGTCTCACTCTGTCGCCCAGGCTGTAGTGCAGTGGTATGATCTCAGCTCACTGCAACCTCTGCCTCCTGGGTTCAAGTAATTCTTCTGCCTCTGCCTGCTGAGTAGCTGGGATTACAGGTACATGCCACCACACTCAGCTAATTTTTGTATTTTTAGTAGAGACAGGGTTTCACCATCTTGGCCACGCTGGTCTGGACCTCCTGACCTTGTGATCCACCCATCTCGGCACCCCATGGTGCTGGGATTACAGGCGTCAGCCATCGCACCTAGCCTGCAATATTTTAATAATGAAAGCGTGTGTAGGCCGGGCGCGGTGGCTCATGTCTGCAATCCCAGCACTATGGGAGGCCGAGGTGGGCGGATCACAAGGTCAGGAGATCGAGACCATCCTGGCTAACGAGGTGAAACCCTACCTCTACTAAAAATACAAAAAATTAGCCGGGCGTGGTGGTGGGCGCCTGTAGTCCCAGCTACTGAGGAGGCTGAGGCAGGAGAATGGCTTGAACCCGGGAGGCGGAGGTTGCAGTGAGCCGAGATCGCGCCATTGCCCTCCAGCCTGGGGGACAGAGCGAGACCCCATCTCAAAATAAATAAATTAATTTTTTAAAAAAGTGTGTGTAGACGTGAATATATACCGATGGTTTCCAGCTTACGATGGTTGAATTTGCAACTTTTCAGCTTTACGGTCCGTGCATCAAGATACTCAGTGCATTTTTGAGTTAGGGTATGTGGAACCACGATGGACTCATGGGGAGGTCACCCCACTGGAAGTCAAGGAGCCTCCCTGTATGTGTGTGTATATAGATTCCTCACCCTCTAAAAAAACATTATAAGCGCTGTGGCCACCCCTAAAGTGCAGCAGGCTCATGCGTGCAGCCCGCCTGGGCTGGAATGGTGTTTGTAGATACGGGTGAGAACTGGACAGCCCAGGTCTTCAGGCAAACCCTCTTGTTGCCATGGCAACAGGTGGGCCCTGCCGGAAGAGCGTGAACCGGCGCCCGCCAGCAGGTGGCAGCGTGGAGCAGCCGATGGAACCCAGCTCCGTTCGCTCCAAGACTGCACCTGTCAGAGGCAGGCAGGGCTGGGGGGACCACGAATGGGGGAAAAGCAAACCGCCACCGCGACCCTATTGCTTTGCCACCTTTTTTTTTTTTTTGAGGTGTTGTCTCGCACTGTTCCCCCGGCTGGAGTGCAAAGGCATGATGATGTTGGCTCACTGCAACCTCTGCCTCCTGGGTTCAAGTGATTCTCCTGCCTGAGCCTCCCAGTAGCTGGGGTTATAGGCACCTGCCACCACGCCCGGCTAATTTTTTTGTATTTTTTTTTGTATTATTATTTTTTTGTTTTTGAGACGGAGTCTTGCTCTGTAGCCAGGCTGGAGTGCAAACGCACGATCTTG